ATACCAGGTGCTATACATACATACATACATACATACATACATACATACATACATACATACATACATTATGTTGCATTTGTGCTGATAAATCAGCACAAATGCAACATAAATGTAACAAGGCAACATAAAAAAATGGCTTTCTGCCTGGATGGCTCCTAGGGTGAGCCGAAAGACAGAAAAGGGAAGCAGTATGCTCCCTCCCATATTTGGGCATACCAGGGGTTGTGACACAATACACACATACACACACACAATACACACACAATACACACACGCACACACACATTTATTTTGATGCTCAAACAGTGTTTTTTCTCTCATCTACTTATTATAGGCAGCCGTTCTTTTCCCGTTTGAACGTTGATTAGCTTACCCTGATGCTGTTCACTATAGCCGCAGATTTGCTCTCTGCAGCTTCAGGGTTGCCTATTAAGTAATCCCAGGCACAAAACAATCGCCAACAAAAAGTGTAGTTTTCATCAGAAGCACTTGCAAGGCTCAGTCTTGAATTTTTGGCCATCCTGGAAAACAACCAATTTCATTGTATTTAAGTACAATGACAATAAAGATTATACTTATAACCATCAAAAGACCCATAGATCGTTATCCTTCAGCCCAGATCTTGAACGTCTCTGATTAAGATATTTCGTCCTACTCCTAATTCTTCCTAAGAGCGTAACTAGAATCTCATCAGTACACACCTCCATTATTTTTACCCCGTTTATATTTGACTAGCTGATAACACGGCGTTGCCCAGGTATTTATTTATAGGGAGAAAATGTCGGACCAAACATAATTTCTAATGTTGGATTTTCCCCCTTGTCAGAGGGAGCCTCCTTTTGGAGTACTGTGAAGCTGTTACCATGACAACTCCATTGCACTGTACAGTAGAAGCCATTTTACGGCAGTACAGTAGAAGCCATTTTAGGCTTAACATGCTGTATTGTAATAGAGCACACACCTGGAAGGGTGTTAGGGGTGTCTTACCCCCACAATATTTTTTTCCAGAGAGTAAGTCATTTGTGTACCAAGTTTGGTTGAAATTGCTCAAAGCGTTCCAGAGTTATGCTGGAACATACACACATACAGCCATTTAGATAGATAGATTAGATAGATGATAGATAGATAGATAAGATAGATGTTATAGATAGATAGATAGATAGATAGATAGATAGATAGATAGATAGATAGATAGATAGATAGATAGATCGGAA